GGTGCCCCTGGTCTGCTGGAGACGGTCTCCAGCAGACCAGGGGCACCGGAGCAGCTTACGAACGGGGCTTTCTCGCCCCGGAGCTCGCAGGTAGCAATCCGCTACCTCGACCTCTGGGGCGAGAGCCCCGTTCGTAAGTGCGGATCCGACGTAGGTCGGATCCGCGTAAGTCGGGGACTGCCTGTATAGCTGAGTCTTTTATTAGGGAATCGATTGTTCCTCTTGGAGGGCTTTTCTGGAGTCCTTACAGGACAATCCATCCCTCTGTGGCAATACAAGTCTCCCAGTAATCTATTTCTGTACTCACCTGTATCTGCACAGGGTTCAACACCCTGGTCCTGCACTCCTAAGTCAGTTCCCTCTCCCCAGCTTCTTTTCCTGGGTTCATACAGCTAATCCCTGAATGTTCAGTTCTTGGAATTTAGTCTGCAGCTCTTTTTCCTTCAAGGCAACATGCTGCTCCAAGGCAGACTTGACATTCTCTAGCCCCCAACTTCTCCATTGCTGTGCTTAGGAAGAGAAAGGATCGATCGATCGCTCTCTCTCTCTCTCTCTTTCTCTCTCTGGTGATAGACGGGAGAAATTGGAATAACTACTTGGTCTGGAGAGAAACTGTCTGTTAGGTTGCAAACCTCTTTCTCGAAGTTTAACCTGAAGTCAAAACTTTTAGCATAGCAACATGTTTCTATGCACCCATTCTTCCTGCAACCAAAACCAGGGGACACCTCATTTTCTTGCCTGCAAACTTGTTCCCCACTTCTTTATTCAGACTTCACGGCAGCCAGCAGTTTGTGGCAGGATGTCTTTGCCATCCTGGCTCTCCTCAGTTTCTCTGTAAGTGGGGCCAGCTTTACAATCATTGTTTTTACATAAGCACGCCCCACTTCCTCTCAGTCAGTACATAGAGTTGGCTGAGCACTGTACCTTCTTCCATGTTGGTGTCAATGACAACTGATTCTTTACCACTGTAGAACTCAGACATTCCCCTTTTTCCAAATGGAATTGAACTCTAACAGCTCTGGTTGCCCTCTGTTCACTGATATAGGGGGATGTCACGGCCAAAGAAGGTGTTTACACTGTGCTGCATGATCATTCTTCTTTAATGGGAAGCCTAAGTGCTAGAACTACAGGTGTGGGTGGAAGAGTACTGCAGCACCCCTTGGTTTGAAGTAGTTTCCATTCTATACAGAGTTTTCAGTTTGGTTCAAAAGCTTCCAGCACCCCTACTATAAAAAGTGTTCCAGCACCCCTATGGTAAATGGTCTCAGAATCCCACTTCTCAAATCACTTGGCAAAAGCTGTGCCTACTCGTTATCACTACTTTGCTGAGCTAGTGCTGCCGGCACTATCTGCCTCACTTTCCTTTCTCTCAGGGCCCCACAAGAGTTCTACACACTCTGAGGGGATGTAAGTGCATTCCCCGGAGGGGTTTCTATTTTATTAAATGGGAATAAACTTGAAATACAATATTTCCCATTGGGCCCATGGTTTGCACCACTTCCTTCTTGGGCTCTGGGAGCTCCTCTCCCTCAGAAGAGATTCTTTCTGGGAGCATCTCTTGACAGTTTAGTCCTGGTAGCCTTGTATGAGGCTCAGGTGTTCATTATTCAAGTACCTGCTTAGATTGGCTCATTCCATTTACATTAGCTCTCCCAGGATAGTCTTACCATGGAGGCCCCTTCTAAAAGTAGCCAGCAAGCCTGTAACTGGTCATGTCTAAAAATAACAAACATTTATTGAAGTAGTTCAGAAAATAAAGACAAAGCAACATATGGAGTCAAGAGGCTGTGGCTAGACAGACTAGGAGATAGAGTATGCTATCTATAGAGTATACACTTTGGCTGCATGGGGTGTGATTGCAGCTCCTGTACATATACTCAAAACTAGTTTTAATCTAACCAGCTCTGGCATGAGAGCACCGAGCTGCAGCAGCCCTGGTTTCAGTGCCCAACTCAAGTAATTACTCATATTTCTAGGTGGGCTTATATAGTCCTACACAGAAGCCCATGTTGACACGTGGTCTCTGACATTAGGTTAGCAACCCACGATTGTAGTATGGCCTTAGCCTGAGAGAGTGAGGACTTTGGATCTCTTCCTTTGACTTGCTAAGTGATTCTAGACAAATCACTTGACCTATGTGAAAAAAGGTTAGAATAATACTTAACTACCACTGTTTCCCTCTAAGTTTTCACTGAGGGCTCATCACCAGCTGCACAGGATGTTATGAAAAAAAAAGTTGGTGAAATACTTCGAGAGCCTTGTTTAAAGCATTATTATTATCACTATACAATGACTAGAAATAATATACCCATAATATATTGCTATCAAACTACAGAACCAGAAGTTTCCATGGTTGGATTCCCATGCTGATTCTGATCTTTCATACAAGGGCAGTAAAGAGCAGTCGAAGAAATCTGTTGGTGAAGCAGCAGTGTTGGACCAATGTAATCAGCACTGTGCTGCCTGTTCTCATAAGCCATAGCATGAGGCACAAGGGACCATACTGAAAGTGTTCAGCACTACGGGGATTTGAGGCTTCACAACACCTAAGAGGCAGAATAAGGCTAGTCATAAGTTTAATCGGGACTAGGAACAGATCTTGGTAGCCTGTCCACATTAAAATTTACAAACATGTTAGTCAAAAACATCAATGTGCTAAATGAACCAGGAATAGAAACTAACATATGGACAAAGAGACAATGAGTTAACTGGTTCCATGAAGTGTATTTAAACTGATTAAATGAGAGCATTTTCTTGGAGTAACACATACAGACAGCGCAAACAAACCTCATTTACATTAAAAGAAAGAAAACATGCACTTGAGCAAAATTGTACATTTCTCCAGGGTTTTAAGATCTTGTTTGACAATAACTCTAACAATCAGGCATTTGTTTCAAGGCACTGGAAGCATACAGCTGTACTCTGAGGAAATCATTAAGAGATCTTTTCCCTGTTTGATGCATGGATGTAACTTATCATTACTATTAATAAGGTTTGTTTTTACCTTGAGCTTGCCATATCCAAGGCTGTAGCTCAACAATACTTTAAATTGTGAGGGAATGAGAATGAGTAGGGATTAGAGAAGATGGGATCAACATTTATCTTAAATTAAAAACAAATGAAACTGGGTAATCAAAGGGTAAGGAGGAAATAAGGAAAACCTAGGGGTGAAAAGGAGGAGTTGGGGATGCTGCTGTGTTCTAAAATAATAGAATAATTTAGTTTTGAAAGTTCCTAACTACTCTTACCCAAAGGTTTCGTATCATTGTCCAAACCTTTCTCTATTTTGAGTGGCTGTACTACTTTCAAGTTCTATTCTTGACATATCATAAAAGCCTGAGCAACACAGTTCAAATTGCCATCAAGGTGCAGGTCTAGATAATGCCAGAAAGAGTTAAGAGGAGTTGTGCTTTTGACTGGATTGCTTGGGTTCAGGCCCATCTCTCATTTATGAAAAGTTTAATATTGTTTTGCTTGTACTCAAAGGTGCTGGGCAATATTCTGGGGTCCTCTTTTCTCAGGAGCTGGTATAGTGCAGGCTGGGACTGTGTAAGCTTTCCCCAGCTGGGCCTCTACAAGACCACTTGGTCCATGCTTGGCCTCTCTATAGAGACTATCAATAAAGGCACCAACTGCAGTGGAGATTTCTGTGTGATGGATGCTTGTCCACAAAAAACAGGATTGAGAACATCAAACTTGTATTGTATAGGCTGCTAAACTGCCATTAATCTTCAGTCATCGATCTCAGATGAATCCAAACAGTGAGATAGAAATAAAACTTCATATTATGCAAATGCCAATCAAGCAGCAAAATGATTATTAATAATACTAAACTCTTATATAGTGTTTTTCATCTGTAGATTTCAAAAAGCATGAGAAAATATCATTAGCTCCATTTTACAGATGGAGCAATTGAGGCATGGAGAGGTGAAGTGTCTTACCCAAGATCACCCAACAAAGCCAGGAATAGAAGTGAGATCTCCTGCTTTAGCAACAAGGCCATATTGCTTCCTAATGTTTTCAAAATCATATTACAAAAACCAACACAAAAAGCACATTCTTCATGGAACTCAAGCAGCACTTTGAACAAGATGACTCAAAGATTCACTGGAAGCTTTTGCAGTCCAAACCCTATAGCATTGTCACAGTATATTAGAGCAAAGCTGACAAGAAATATACCAGCGCAGTTACAATATGCAAACTGAGCAACAAACTGCAAGCAACATAAGCAATGAAAATAAGTTGGGTCTGAACAACTCTTTTCATAATTTAAGTGATACGCATAATGAGAGGGTTTGTTTGTGCATTTATGTTTGGAGACAAGTTAACCCTTTGTGCAATTTTTTTATTTCAATTGACTGACTCCATAGGAAATTACGCCTATGATTTTTTAATTTGCAAGTGTCTCTAAGCAAAAAAGAGAACATACATGTTATCTGTGCTTTTAGTGGTATTTAGTAGTGTGTGTGTGTTCCTCCTCTTGAGGTGTTTTATGTTCTCCCCCATTTGGGGTTTTGCATTTTACATGTGTGTTTGTGTGTGTGTATGTGTGAGAGAGAGGGGGGGGGGAGGGAAGGGATACAATATTTGTAATAAAATAATAATAATAAAATATTTCTGAATTCTCTTCTGTTTTTTACCTGGTAAAATGGCTGGTGGCTTGGAGTTCTGAGTCCTGTGGACGAAGGTTATCATACACATACTTCAGATCCTGGATACTATTCAGCTCAGGCAACCCTGCATGCAGCATCTATGAACATATAGGATTGATCCAATAAATCCATTGAAAATAATTGAAATGGAACACGGCTAGTTAGAAAAAAAATGGAGTTACAGGGAAAGAACTCTCCCTATTTATAAATTACAAGCCTCTCCTAATTTGGGACGTTTGTGACTCAATATAACATCCTGATTGGGCGAATGAAATGCAATTGTAACTTCTTCACATTGATGCACTAGAAAAGGGCATATTCAAATGGATTCTGGACCTCAGGAATCTGATACTTTACAACTGATCCTTCCCCTAGACTCTGGTCTACACTAGAACTTTATTTGAAATAACTCCCACCAAGGTTGAATTTATAAGTGGAGCGTCCACATTACCAAGATCGTTATTTTGAAGTAACGGGCCATGGAATTTGAAATCTGTACTCCTGCTTTTCATCAGGAGTAACACTAATTCCGAAATAGTTATTTTGCAATAATGCTAGTGTGGATACTCCAGTGCTGTTAATTCAAAATAATTATGCCCCAGAGTAACGTCTAACTAATTTCTCCCCAGTTCTTCCTGGGGCTATAAGTCTGAGGTACTGCGTCCACATTAACAAAGCGTAACTCAGACTAATTTCAAAGCTTCCCCATAGGGTGGACACAATAGTTCAAATTTATTAAATTTACTAATTTTGAAATAATTTCCAAGTGTAGACATGGCCTAGGAGTCCACACCCTCAGGCTGGTTTACTTCTTCCTATTCTTATTTATGTAATGAGAGGTAACCACATGGTCAGTGCAGTGCAATGAGAAGTGGACACCTAGGCATATTCTATGTGACCAGCACACCTATTCCTAGGCACCTTAAAATGTTAAAAAATTAAAAAGTTTCTAATAAACTTTTAAAACTCACTGACTTTGCATTTTCCTCACACCAAATTGAGACGATGGACTGTGTGTAACAGAGAGAAAACCTTCATTGCTCAGAAAACATATACATGTAGCATTACGATTGCTGCTTGAGTGTGTACATTTTGCAATGAAATATATTTCCAGTACAGACAAAAGTGCCTACTGATCTCAGAAGATTAAACCAAACAAAAGGGAAACATTGCTTTTGTTGTAAGTTATTGGTAAGGGGAAAGTGAAAGGAGGTGAGAAGAGGGGTATTTGTTTTCCTTATTTCTTTCCATCTTTTTTATGTTTTTTAAAATCAATGTGTTTGTATTTTAGGTTCTTTTCTCCTCAGCAGCATAGCTCAGATGTTGCCTAATGGCTCAGGTTTTATCTATACCGCTGCTGGAACTGTGACAGCTTGAACACTGGTTACTCAGAGGAGACAGAAAAATCACCGAGATGAATTCAATCAGTCTAATTTCCCAGAGACACTTACAAATACAAGAGGATACAGGAACACGGGATCTTCTGGGTTTTCTGTCCCCTAGTATCACAAGCAATCTCATCAGAGAATCCTGGTTTAGCAAGATTAATTTAAAAACTAGTTTGTGTCTTTTACTCCTATTGGGAGACAGTTCCAGAATCTCAATCCTCCAATGGCTATAAAACATCCTTTTAACTTCCAGCCTAAATTTACTCATGCCCAGTTTATGTCCATCTGTTATTATGCAAACATTATCATTTAGCTCAAATAGCTCTTCTTCCTTTTTGGTTTTTATCCCATGACATAGTTCTAGAGCCCAACCACATCCCCTCACAGTCTTTGATTTGCTGGGTTAAAGAAGCCAAGATCTTCCAGTCTCTAGTTCCAAGGTAGGCCCTCCATTTCCCTGGTCATCCTAGGAGCCCTTCACTGCACCTGTTCTAGTTTGAGTTCATCTTTCTTAACAATGGTGCAAGGCACAAAATAATAATAATTTGCATTTACATATACACAGTCTTATTTATCCATACATCTTCAAGCAGTTTACAAAGGATTGTAGGTACAAATATCCCCATTTGCAGCTGGGATAACTACGGTCACAATGTCACACTACCAGACACTCTTAAATGTTGAAACAGAATCCAGATCACTTCTAGTTAGGGCAGTTTGGTGCCCTAACTACATTATGCCAGATGCAAGTGACATGCCTTGGACTCCCTACGCTGCAAATATGAGGAAGAACCACCCAAGTGCTGGGAAAGCAAAGGGCTCTGTGGATAGGACTGGCTTCTCAGTGTTATTGGTTACTATTCCTCCCAGGCAGCCTGGTTCTTTGAGGATCAGTAGTTTTCTTTCCTCTTGTATCAGGGGACAAAGAGTGTTCTCAACACACTGGTGGTAGAGACTGATCAGACAAACTTTGGGTATTTTCCAACCCCAAGTGCACATGTGTTTGGACATCCAGCCTGCATGGACTACAGTACTTTGCCCTCACAAGTCTTTTAGATAGCTGATGTAACTAGAGAGAAGTCTGAGCCACAAACATTTGGACCTGGATTTCTGATGCCCCAAAGTATAGTAATGTTTGGATCTGCTTACACTGAAAAGGAAGTGAAGGGCCAGCTGTAAGGATGGACCTACGTTTGGATGGCATTCAGATCCAGAGCTATGTTTTAGGCCTATTTCTTCATGAAATAGTGAATTAAACTGACACAGCATTTTTCACACAGATCTCAAGTCCATCACCAAGATGAGCAAGTTTCAATATCCCCTATTAGTATTTCTGAGGCATGGAGAGGTGAAGTGATTTGCCCAAGTACACAGAGTGACTCAGTGGCAATTAATCTATACACCTGTCTCTCAGTAAGGACTCTATTTCTTACTCACATTTTAACAGAGAGCTAATTTGTTATGTTTCATTGGAGAATCTATTATAAGTCCATCACCAAGATGAGCAAGTTTCAATATCCCCTATTAGTATTTCTGAGGCATGGAGAGGTGAAGTGATTTGCCCAAGTACACAGAGTGACTCAGTGGCAATTAATCTATACACCTGTCTCTCAGTAAGGACTCTATTTCTTACTCACATTTTAACAGAGAGCTAATTTGTTATGTTTCATTGGAGAATCTATTATA